TAGAGATGTTTATGGTAAAAGTCACACTTGAGGGACGGGGTCTATTAGATGTATCATCTACAGACAACTTAGTGCATCACTTTCAAAGTTTATATGGAGCAACTGATCTGTACAAACTAAAAGGTTTACAAATTACAAAATATGATGTGTCAATAAGCAACAATATAAGAGTGGTATTAAAGAGATATCAGGTCAACACAAGTGTTACAAAGACCACTGTTTTGCAATAGTTCTTTATTCCACGTTACTCAATCATCTCACCTTGTAGTTACTGGAACTCAAATACTTTAGATGCAATCATTGAAAATGGATCTCAGCTTAACAATACAATGCAGTGTAAGCACTACTTAAGGAGGCTGGAATTAGGGTTTTTAGATGCATGCAATCTACACACACCACAATTAAGATGCACGCGTCAGCTGAATGAATCAAAATCAGCACACCAGAAGTTAAATGTTGCTTGAAATCGTGCGAACTGGAAATAAAATCTGCGAAATATATTTGTTTCTACCCAGGTAAAAATATAAGGTGGGATCCCGCCAATCCCACCTGGGATCCCAGGTGCGTCCCGGGTGGGATCCCGCCTTTTTCAGGTGGGATCCCGGGTGGGATTATGGAACATCCCGCATAGGATCCCACCTGGGATTATGGAACATCCCGCATGGGATCCCACCTGGGATTATGGAACATCCCACATGGGATCCCACCTGGGATTATGGAACATCCTGCACGGGAACATGGGATCCCACCTGGGATTAAACATCTGCATGGGAAATTATAACATCCCGCATGGGATCCCACATTCCCGCCAATTGAGTACCAGATAGGATATCTTATCAATTCCTTTTGTAACCTAATCCGTAAAATTTAGAGGATAAAATTTTCTAGGTGAGATAGACCCCATCAATCCACTGAGGGTCCAAAACTTTCCAACTAGCTATAGAACATACTGACACCTCCAATGGGATCCCATTGTGTTACCAAACTGTTGATCATAAATGATTCAAACAGTACATGAATACACAGACTATATGTGATAAAGATCTCATAATTTATTTGCAATGAACCAGCATGTGTTTGACTTGTTTCATTAACAAATTTCTTAACCGAACATTCTTAAAGAATAACAGCACAACTCAGCATATTACTTTTTCTTCATCATTTAAGCAGACCATCTACAGTGTAATAAGGCTCAACGTTTAAAAAAATTGGCTGATGTGTATCAAAGAATAGAAGAAAGACAAAACCTCAATAATTCATGTTATCAAAATTTTGACAAAGGTACTGATTGAAAGTCTGCTCTCTCTTCAGTCGACTAGCTTGAAATTTTGTTTGGTGACCTATCTTGATTTTTTGCATGCACACACCATTTATGATGGCACTTTAAATATAAAAGTTTCGGGAAAAATTATCCAGTAGAATTTTCTCTGAGCTATAGATCACATTTTCTTTAAATATATTTAATTCTACTAGATAAATTTTTTAACAGGAATGTCAGACTATGGAATATGATATACAATTTAATTGCTGTTCATGTAAAATTACTGAAACTGAAAGGAAACACATCATGAGAAAACACAGGAAAATATGTATGTATGACAGCATGGAACCTGTTGCCAGTTGGTGTATTCAGTATTGTTCTCTGTATTGCCAATTATTCAATCTGTTTTAGCCCAGTTGCTTTGCAAAGCAGCTGTCTTGACGATAATCATTGGATATTTTATCTTAACTTGAGCATGTCATGAACAAAATAGTAGAGAAACATGTTTCATACATTTGTACAAGGCCATACAGATTGATGAGTGGGATAACATCATGATTATTATTAATTGAAAAAAATAAACAAGTTTCTGGCTGAAACAAATTTTGGCAGTTGTGTTAATGTGTATGTACTCATGCCTTCAATGTTAATTATTTTGCAAATAAAGCAAGGTACCTAAAGTATCAAACTTAAACAAAGTATTCTTTTGGTAGAGAGGCCTGTGGTTCTGGACAAAGGTTTTCTGTAAGTATTCACTCTTTTTGGATAATCTAGTAGAGGAAATAAATAATATTATTCAAAATAAACAGGAATGTCAGACTATGGAATATGATAAACAATTTATCTGCTATTCATGTAAAATTACTGAAATTGAAAGGAAACAGGGGTCTAATTTAGGACCACTTTTGTTTATAATTTATATGAATACAGCTCCTAAAGCTATACACTCGAGCACCACTGTACAACTGTATGCTGATGATATGAAATACTTCAGAATTATAGATAACATCAATGATGTTCAACAACTACAAAGTGACCTGTTAAATCTAAACAATTGGTCAGCTGATCACTTCATGAAGTTTAATTCAAAGAAATGCAAATATCTTGCAATCACAAGGAAAAAGAATATTGTTATTTCAACCCATACAACTTAATGGCTCACAGATTATGTCAGTTACAACTGAGAAAGACCTTGGTGTGCATGTTTCTACCAAGTTATCTTGAAATAATCCCATTGACATTGTCAGTAAAGCCAACAAGATGCTGGGCATGATCAAAAGAACTTGTACCAATGAATGTGATCAGAAAACATTGATAATTTTATACAAATCACTTGTTTAATAACAGCTGGAGTATGCTTGACAGGTCTGGTCACCCCACACTAAAGAAAAGATCATTGCACTTGAGCATGTACAAAGACATGCAACTAAATTTATCCTGAAAACTGACTTAAGTTATCCTGAGAGACTTATCAAACTGAAACTTTTACCTCTAGAATATGGAAGAGAGATGTTGGATCTTTGTTTTTGCTTTAGGTGCCTGAAAGGTTACACTGATTTCAATGTTTTGTCACATGTTAATTTTGAGATACCCAAATATAACATCAGTAATAGTGAAGCTACACTGGTGAGAGGCCTTTTTGAAACTGATGTTTTTAAGTTTTCTTTCTTCAGTCGTATTGTAGAGCTGTGGAATTGCCTACCACTAGATATCAGAACAATTTAACATTTCTCATCATTTAAGAACAGTTTTAATAAATTTTATCTTAATTTAACATAAATAAGGATAGATTTTTATAATTGATTAATAGTATATTGTCATGATATTTCATTCTATTTGAGCAAACTTGTATAATTTTTCTTTCTAAAAAAACATGTATGATAGCTGGAACTTGTTGCCAAAAAAGGTTTCTAGAAGACATTAAAAGAAAATATTCAACTATGGATGCTATAAAGAAGAAAGAATTACTTTCCCAACCCAATGAGGAATTAGTGAAAGCCAGATCAGTTGAATTGTGTATTAACCAGTTTAAGATGAAAATAAGAGAAGGCCTTAATATTTTATATGTACTGTCTGTAATCGAATACTTTATGAGAAATTAGTAATAACATGCATAAACAAGAAGTACCCTTGTCAAACATATTTCAATATTCAACACTCATTTGATGGAAAACAGTACATATGCAACACATGTCATTCAAAGGTCATAAAAGGAAAATTACCATGTCAGGCTGTAGTGAATAATATGTATGTGTATGAAATAACCACAGAACTATTCTCATTAGAAAAACTATAACAAATACGAATAGCTCAACGAATGGTATTTGAGAAGATTGTGGTCATGCATGAAGGACAACGGAGAAAAATTAAGGGGTGCAATATGCAATGTACCTGTAGAATGTGATCAGACATGTAATCAACTCCCTCATCCACCTGGTAGATCTTGTATAATAATACTTAAGCTTAAAAGAAAGTTATAATCTAGAGGACATGTTTATTTTTGCTCAACGATGCTTAGAATAAACTCTAAAAATTATTTTCGAGATGAAAATTGACGTGGAGCGATTGAAAGAGCTTAAGTAAACCCTGAGATGTTTTCGGTCTCACTTTGTGAAATCAAAAAGTCACAGAATCACTCACTTACAGGAGCATTGTGCTGTTACTCGTTTTTTTACTAAGTTAAAGGGGTAAGTTTCTAAAGAAACTGTGGTGCTGCGTCGGTGGGAGAGTATAGCAGGTAATTTAGTGTTAACAACTGGGTTGAAAACGTAAATTAGCCACCGTAAAGGGTAAAAAAGCTGACGTTCCGAGCGTTAGCCCTTCGTCAGAGCGATTAGAATCGCTCTGACGAAGGGCTAACGCTCGAAACGTCAGCTTTTTTACCCTTTACGGTGGCTAATTTACTTTTTACTAAGTTACTCTGTTTAGTAACACCCCTATCATAGAGGGAAGCGCAAGTGAAGGCCTCTGCGGCCTCTAGTTTTACATTATTTTATACAGACTACATTTAAAAACTAGCAATGTTCTTTTAGGAATATGTAAATAATCTCCCAACCAGCAAAGTTGAAAATGAAGGAAAACTTATCCATGAAACATTTAAGCTACCAGCAAATACGAATCAGTAAACTTGCCTGAGAGTCACGATGTAAAGTAGCTCTCGTGAGCACTGGAATGGTTCAAAAAATGTTACAATCATTTTCTACCGTGGCAAGTTTAAGAATCACAGCATAAGGACGGATGTCGCCTTCCTGTGAGATCCAGTATTCCGCTCCAGCCTTTGTTGCTGAAGCAGGGATGATTTGGACGCTATCGGGATTGACACGATTCTGGAAGGCAATTTTGTAGACTTTTCCCTCATACCTGAATTCCTGTGCATAATGCTCCTCAACCATTTTTGGAGAAGGGCTGCTGTAGATACCTGGACCGAACCTTTCTCTGGGACCAGTTTTCAACCCTTGTTTGATTATGTTGACGGCGTGTTCGGCCTTCGTGCCGTGATACGAAACTGCCCATTCGTTTGGGGCCTCTTCAGTGCGTATGCCGTTTGGACCGAGCCACTCGTCGCCTCCAGAGTATTTGCCATGAACTTTTAAGGCTATTCTATTCCAACCGTACGGTCGGTGATATTGATGCCCTCCTCTCATGTATTTCTTACCGTCATCTTTGACATTAGTGAAATCATAATCGTACTGGGGATCAAGCCCGCTAGAGTCGAGAAACGTCCACTTATCACAAGGCA